TTTTCCAAAGAAGACATCCAGATGGCCAACAGACACATGAAAAGATGCTCAACATCACTCATCATCAGGGAAAGGGTAACCAAAATCACAATGAGATACCACCTCACATCTGTCAGAATGGTTAAAATCAACAACACAAGAAACAACATGTGTTGGGAAGGATGCAGAGAAAGGGGAAACTTCATGTCTCTTGGTGGGAATGCAAACTGGTGCAGCCACTCTGGAAAACAGTATGGAGGTTCCTCAAAAACTTAAAAATAAAATTACCATCTGATCCAGTAATTCCACTAGTGGGTATTTACCCAAAGAATATGAAAACACTAATTCATAAAGATATATGCACCCCAATGTTCATAGCAGTGGTATTTACAATAGGCAAATTATGGAAGCAATCCAAGTGTCCGTCAATAGATGAATACATAAAGAAGATATAGTGTACATACACAATGGAATATTACTCAGCCACAGAAGGAATCTTACCATTTGCAACAATATGGATGGATCTAGAGGGTATAATACTAAGTGAAATAAGTCAGAGAAAGATAAATACCATATGATTTCACTCATATGTGGAATTTAAGAAGCAAAACAAATGAACAAAGGGCAAAAAAAGAAACCAACCAAGAAAGAGACTCTTAACTATAGAGAACAAACTGATGGGTCACCAGAGGGGAGTGGGTGGGGGGGGTGTGGGGAAATAGATGAAGGGGATTAAGGGTACACTTATCATGATGAGCACTGAGTTACGTGTAGAATTGTTGAATCTCTATATCGTACAATTGAAACTGATATAACACTGTGTGTTAACTCTACTAGAATTAAAATTTAAAAATAAACAATTTTTTAAGATAAAAAAATTAAAAAGCAATCCCTCTGTGTGTTGGGAGAAGTTCTAGATTGGTCTTGGGTTGGAGAACACTTGGTCTTTACTAAAACCAGGAGGAAGACAATGACCAAGTGTTCTGCTCAGAGCCGGGCAGAAACACAGAAACCCAGCTGCAGACAGAGCTGGAAAATCTAAGCACATCTGGAAAAGCGCATGAAGAGAGGGTGAAATACACAGATGCCAGGAGAACAACCCACAGCGAACCACTGCCCTGAGTCACCGCTTCACCACGGGGAGTTGATTTCATCACAAGAAGCGACAGGCAGATGAGGGGGCTGGGTCATCATCACCACTGGACAGGCTACTCAAAGTCCTAGCTCCAAAGCTAGTCTCCGAGCAACTCCTTCTGTCTTTATGATATTTCATATGATGCCATCACCTTGCCCATAAAAACTCTTATGCACATGGAAAGATTACTGCTAAGAGGCTGATGCCTGGGTCAGTCCCCATTACTGGTGCCGGATTTTCCTTGATCTGGTCAACCCATACCTTCCACCTCTTTCTGTGGCCATTCATGCCCTTCATCCTCACAGTCTCCCTACCTCTGTCTTAAAGATCACTGCCTGCGAGCCTCTTAGCCCTCTTTGCCTTTTATGCATCCTCCACTCCTCCCAACTACCCTCTAGCGGGCACTCTTGATTCCTTGAACCCGGTACTACTTTTACACCATTTATACCCTTTTATCACGATATATAATTATTCATTACTTGTTTGTTTATTGCCCGCATTTCCCAACTACAACATAAGTTCCATTGAAGCGGAAATGTTCTGTTCACTGACATATCCCAAGCACTTAGAATAGTGCCTGTCACAGAACATACTCCATAAATAGTGAAGAAATATATGAACAAAAAGGCAATCTTACCTAGTCCGTTAGTTTAAATGTTCATATACACTCATGTCTCCTAGATCTGTCGTTCTAGACCAATATTCTCCTGCATTCTAGTTCAAGAGAACCCATTGCTCACTTAGTCCCTTGTCCTTGGATTTTCTGTGGGCCCCTCAAATCTCATAGTTGAAACACAAATCCATCATCTCTCCCTGTATCTGCTCTTCTACTCATGGTCCCCATCTTGATAAATGGCCACCATTTACCCAGTTGTCCAAGAGAGAAACCTAGGTGTTATCTTTTGCCTTCCCTTTGTCTCAATTGGTGTATTCTACTGATCATCTAATCATGCAGAATCAATTCTCTCCCAGAGTCCCACTTTTCCACACCCCCCAGCCATGACTCTTGTTCATGCTTCCATCAACTTTCCTCAAACAACTCTAGCAACCCCCTAACAGAAGAGAGTACTCTGGCACTGTATCTCATCTCTTGAGTCTACTTCACATTGCAGCCAGAATGATCTTTGTGACTTTTTATCCCGTCCCCTCAGAGGAATTGCTCTGGGAAGCAGCCAGACTGGAGGGGGTCTGTGTGCCTGAAAGATCCACCATTAAGGAAGATCCTCCCTGGACCGTTGATGAACAAGACGTGATCTTCTATTGCTAAGCTGCTGAAATTCTGGGGATGCTTTAGCAGCTACTATTATCCTAACGGAGAATAAAATAGATGCAATGATGGAATGATGGCTTTCTTCTTCCTCTTTTCTTGCTCAAGTGTGAAGGCCTGGAGATCAGAAACTAGACTAACTCCCTAACATACCTCCAGTGCCTAGTAAATTCTTTACATAATTAAAAAACTGAATGCACCTTGAAAAAAAGGCCCCACAAGATAGCAATTATTGTTGTTGGGGTTTCAGAGAGGAGCAACTGAGGCACGTGGGATTAAATCACCGCACGGCCGTGTGGCCAAAGTCACAAAGTCCAGCTCTGAAAATGAGGGCGGTGGGTCCCATAGCAACTGTTCCTTTAGGTAGATTCATGCCTTGCCCAATTTTTTTTTTTCACTAGCCCTCATGTTTACTGCTTTCTACCCATTTCTGTTGACCACGGGCCTGCTCATGCCCTTGGAGTCCTCACCTGAATGGGGGACATGTTGTTTAACCTTCCCTCTGCCTCAACCTGTCTCTACTGTACCCGAAACTGATGAACACTCCCGACCCTCAGCTCTCCTCATGGAGATTCTCCTGCTCAATGACCCTGATGAGAAGCAAAATTAAGTGAATTCAAGTAGAGACCAGAAACCAACAACCATAAAACAAATTCACAAACTGCTTCTTTGTAATAATGACCAACTAAGACTTTTAGCAAGTGTGATGAAAAAGGGAGGAAAGAAGGGAGAAAACACACAAATTAGCAACATTGCGCTGAAAAATAGAGCAGAACCCCTGGTCGAGAACAGCTTAAAGCATCTGTAAGCCAAGACTTTATACGACTTTAAGCTAATAACTTTGTAATTCGGTGGAATAATGAGAATTTTTTTTTTTTGAAAAATGCACATTTTAAGGGTGCCTGGGTGGCTCAGTCGGTTGAGCATCTGACTCCTGATTTTGGCTCAGGTCGTGGTCTCGGGGTCATGAGACTGAGCCCCACGTTTTGCTGGAAAATCACCGTTCAGCCAGAAAAAAACCCTTCCCCAGCCATACGCGCTATTTTCATAGTGGAATATGGGCAGAAGTGATATGTTCATTTCCAGGTGGAGGCTTTTAAAATAGGTGGGTGGGCCTTTCCATTCTTTCTTCCCCCTCACTGGCTAGATACAGAGGATGAGGGGGCTCTAGGGCACAGGTGGGCACATTATGGCCCGTGAGCCTGCGTTTGTTAATAAAGTTTTATTGGAACACGGCCATGCCCACTTGTTGACTTATTGCTTACAGTTCTTTCGGTACCGCAGCAGCAGAGTGAGTAGTTGCGACAGGCGGTTTAAATCGCTTAGCCTATTTACTGTCTGGTCCTTTCAGAAAGTTTGCTGCCCTCCTCTAGGGAAGCAGCCAGACTGGAGGGGGTCTGTGTGCCTGAAAGATCCACCATTAAGGAAGATCCTCCCTGGACCGTTGATGAACAAGACGTGATCTTCTATTGCTAAGCTGCTGAAATTCTGGGGATGCTTTAGCAGCTACTATTATCCTAACGGAGAATAAAATAGATGCAAGTCTCAAATAAAATATCAGATACTTCTAGAAAAAAATTTCTTTGTAGGGTTTTTTTCCAGAAATGCAAGGTGATTAGAAAAGAGAGCAATGCCATAGTCCTAGGTCGAAGAAGAAAACTCACGCGATCGTCTTTCTGTGCATGTTGAAAGCATTTAAGAATTCAGCACCCATCTTATACACTACTCTTAGTAGGATAGGAGAGAGAAATAATTCCTTAGAATACCTATCTACATACCAAAAGCTAGCATCATATATAGAGGTACATGAGAGAAGAAAACCCCATTTGTGACGGAAACAAACAGAAAAATAAATGTTATCAACATAGCGAAAGCATAACATATATATGATAATAAAATACTGATCAAATCCCTGGCAATGTACAAATAAAGAAAATTTCCTACCATGTAATATATTAATAATTATTAAATTGCATTGTTCATTATATAATATGAAATGACGTAAGTTATGTGCTTTATATAATTCACATGCATAATTTTATATATGATATCCTTCTACATACAATATAGATATTTTATATGTAATAAAGTATATATTAAGTTTGCATAATACAGCATACTGTATACTTTGCAATTTATATAAAATTCATATAATTCACAAATACGTAATTTGTAAATAAAACATGAAAATTATATATAATTTATATGTTATGAATATACTATATATAAATTTTTTAAATGATGCTAATTAGATAATACTTTAATGAAACCCTGATGTTACTTTTCAAGTATTAGCTAGTGCACCAACACAGAAAAACAATGAAGCGGGAGACAAATTTTCATTATTTGTAGGAGACATGATGGTGTACCTAGGCAATTGAAGATAAACCGAGAAACTATTGGCAACTATTAAGAAAGTCTTAAAAGTTAAAAAATTAACGCGCAAAATTAATACATTTCCTGTATGTCAGCAATAATTAACGTGACCTTACTTAAAAAAAAAAAGAAAAAAATCCAGAACCTTACTAAGGGAAATGAGAGATCACTTGAATCAGTGACCTCTGGGTATGGAGAGGACTCTGGGACAGTGACCCAGGGCAGGACTCCTGTTCTAACTACCTTTTATGGCCTCCTTCACAGCAGAATCCACGGGGAGTATATTCTTCTCCACCAGCTCCAGTGGTCCTGGCCGGAGGGCGATCTTTTCATTGAGATCATCTGCAAGTCGGGCTCTTTTCAGCTTCATCTGAGCAGTTGGGATGGACCTCTCTGCAGTGGAGGCTGAGGGATTGAAACCGGAAGAATCAGCCCTACCGTTCTGATGTCAGCTTTGGTTTTGCTTCTGCTTTTTGGCTTTTGCACGTGCACCATTGTGTCGTGTCGTGCTCTCTACCACCCTAATAATGTTTCACTGCGATCATGGTCATTTCACATGGATTAGCAGCGAAGACCAGACACTTCCAAATAAAGGCAAATCGAGAGGCACGGAAGGGTTAGAGAAATGTGCTTTGTGCCGATTCTTGGAAAAAAAAAAGTGCAATTTGGCAATTCTGTGGGCAGGCAGTCCACGGGGTGTACATTGCTCGCTGACCCTAAGCTGCAGCGTAGGGATGTGCATCCTGTTTCTACATTACCTGGCACGGTCTGAGCCTGCTGCAAATACCATCTATTATTATAATTACTTGCAGTAGTGTGACTCCTTAAGGTTTGGCAATGTTGTGATGCTAACTGATGCCCATGTCAAGGGGAATTGTAAAATTAAAAAAAATCCCTTTGAAACAGTTACTTAATTAAACAGGGGGGTTTTAAAAATTGAATTCATCTGATGGGCGGTTTCTCATCATTTGGACGGTGACAAAGGTCTCTGCCAAGCCCTGAATCACCCGTATATTCCTCTTCCGATTCCTCCCAGACTTATTTCTGTGTGAGAACTTGGAGGAGAGTCTGGCCAACCAGCTGCTCCTGCAAGGCAGACCTGTTAGGATTCCATCGAAGTTTGTAGCTTCACTCTGAACTCGGCAGTTTTAAAAGAGGAGATATTTACCCACCAGCCTCCCAGCCCTGTCGCTGTATTATTATCCACCCGCTAACCCAGACCTCGTGTCTGGAGGCTGATCTAGAAATCTCCATACGGGGGCGCTCTAGAGAGGTGGTATGGTTGCAACAGGTCAGATCTCATCTAGAAGTTGTATCTGTAAAGCACCTGACACGGGATGGACAAAACATCAGTACTCCGAACCTAAGAATACATGTGCTGAGACTAGGTCCTCCCCAAGCCTCCCTTAACATCCCGTCAGGTCAGGGCAAGGGCTTCTTGCTGGGTCCACTGCCTCAAGGATCTTTCTGATTCGTCCTATGCACCCATTAATCCCGAGAAGCACTCCTCCCTTGAAAACCCCTACATGATGCTTCTCTATCCCTCTGGCCATGCCATGAATGGAGATGCTCCATCCCCAAAGGACCACTCCAGTGACCCTGGTCCTCCCCCTTCTGTCCCTCACATCTTACCGAGTTCACCTTTGTACTTTGCTTGGTTCCCTCTCCTGGTGAGCTTCCTACCTTCTCCCCACCACCAGCCCAGCAGGCTACTCTTCGGGTCCCAGCCCAAAGCCTCCTCTTACGTGCCGCCTTCGCTGTGACTGCCTCCAGCACTTACAGCCATGGCCCTTGGTCTTAAGCAGCTGCTTCCAAAACTAGACCCAGAAGCTTTGCAAAGAGGGGTCATTTTGTATCCAGCAGATCCTTGGTGCCCTAGGGCACTAATTCCCAATTTCTGTTGGGGAGAAGAGAGGATCCCATGGGAATCACCAGAGTCACGCAATTGAATTGCTGGTCATGGCAGTTCACAGCCTATTTTAATTCAAGACCGTGATGATATAACAAATAACATTTCTCATGCCTTTTTTTTTTTTCCTCTTCTCTTCCCCACACAGGGCTTGAACTCACAGCCCCTGAGATCAAGACCTGAGCTGAGATCCAGAGTCCGATGCTTAACTGACTGAGCCACCCAGGCGCCCTTCTCATGCTTTTTTGATTGTAGTATTATTACACACTCGTCCAGCCTAAGTATGGGAAATGCTAAAAGAGTATATGAAAGACAATGAAAGCATCGAGAAACGCCCCACTTTGAGTCAACTGTTTTTAATAGGTGGGTGTCTTTCTTAACTATTCATATTTATCATTAGGGCTACGTTTTGGGGGGTTTTTGTTTTATTTATATATTTCAAGATCTTGTTTTTAAGTAATCTCTGCACCCAGCGTGGGGCTCAAACCCCCAACCCTGAGATCAAGAGTCGTGCACTCCACCAACTGAGCTGGCCAGGTTTTTAAATCACAGAATCAGACTATAAACACTCTGTGGCCCTAGAGGGACTCAAACGACCACTCTGAATGGCAGGGGACATTTATTAAGAGGACACAGAGAGAAAAGAACTCTGGCACATGCCCACCATTGGCGGGCATCCTTGGTCATGCTTGGGTGCGGTCTCACCTTGGAGTATGTGCATATTAACAACGTTCTCACCTTGGAGTATGTGCATATTAACCACGTCGGTGTGATCGGGCCTGTTTCTGACCTTGTGCTTCAGGGAGTCTTCAGTCTGCAAGCACAAACACAGAGCATGTTCCGCTCACATGGTTGAACTGCCTCGTTTTGACTTTAAAAGAGCCTCGATTTCTCTCAAAAGGGAGAACAATCCTTCTTTTGACAAACAGAAGCTGCAAATCGCTCTGGTCTCCTCTATTTCGATGCAGGAATGCTTGCAAAAGCCTCTCTAGTAATTTTAGGATGGAAAAATTCAGGAAAGAGGGAAGGAGCTTGGGTCTCCATCAGGGCTACACACTTAAAGGCCAGGCAGGTACGTGCTAATAAAATATTAATAAAGCTCTGATAATACTAAAGCTCTGATAATACTAAGTTGCTTGTACTCCAGTCAATTCTATTCCTTGGACTCTTAAAACGGCAGTGAAACTAACTAAGGTTAGAGATGAAATGAAACCTGAGTCCATCTAGTAGAACATGACAACCTATGCCCTCTTCCAAGAATTCACTGGCTGTCTCTCTTAGGACCTGTGAAAATGTAAATTCAGGAGCACCGTGAGTGCGAAGGACACACGGAGATGATTTACCGAGTCCCATCTTCTTCTTAATGGTGGAGCTGTCTGTGGGAACGGATATGGGCTCTGGCAGGGCCACACCCAGATCTCTCAGGCCCTGATTTCTATCTAGTTCTGGGTTTTGATCCCACTATACTGGATCTCCTACTTGACCCCTGAGAGGGGTCAGGAGATCACTCCTATTCTGATAGAAGACACTTGTTATCCAGGGAGCAGGGACCAAAATCTCTCAGGAGCAACTGTGAAGAGGTACAAAGCCCAGCTCCTCTCTCCACCCACAACCTAGCTGCAGGGCTAGAACTCGTAGACAAAGAAATCCCGGGAGAAAGGCACCCCCTTTTCATCTCCTTCTCATACAGGGCTGATGCCAGCTAAATAGTATTTATTATTGATAAATTCAGTTTGCAGAGATCTACTATGAAGGTACAGAATATATGCCCCCCCCGAAGTGCTAAACAAACAAACAAAACAGAAAGAGAAATAAACCAAAAGCCTTTTGCCTTTAGGTACCTGCCAATCAGCTCTGTATTCACAGGCCTTAGCTTAGTATTACATTGGAGTTTTAAAAAATCTGATTGTAAGAAAAGGCTGGAAGGCTTTTTGAAGTCTCTTTGACTTCTTCAGCATCCTTGCCATGAACTTCCTAACATCAGGAAGACTGGGGACATTTTCTTAAGCTAAAAAAGAGTTTCAAAGCAAAATGTGGTCAATCGCATTTCTCCAGTTTTCGAGTTTGTAGGAATAAGATTCCCTATGGTGTGGCGGGGTGTTGGGGGTGGGGGGATGTATCAAGTTTGTGGTAGAAATTCCACCTGCTTTAGCCAAACCTGAGCACTCAGAGATCCATACCCTGGAGTCCAAGTTCAGAAACAGGGCAGTTTGCAAAAAAAAAAAAAAAAAAATTTACCTTGTCACTATCCAAATGTTTTCTTTGCTCATGGAATTCGGTTGGATTTTTCAGTGCTGCAACGGAAAGACAGGGACGTGAGCAGAGCGGGGCTCAGGGCACTGAGCAGCAAAGACAGGATTTGCCGGTGCGCTTGCTGAGCTGTGCATAGGATGGATGTGAGCACCTTTATTAGGCCACAAGCAATTGAAGAGGAGAGGCCCAGAGGACACCAGCTTCCCTGAAGCCAGAAGATACAGAGGAGGCTGGAATTGAGGCCGAAAACAGGAGGAACAGTAGAGGCAGACGTGCGACAGGGAGACAGGTGTGGAGACAGGGCATTCCGAGATCCTGGGGAGGCACGGGGACCTGTGGGAGGCTGGACACAGATCCCGAGTGAGGGAGAAGGGCGGATGGGGTGCCTAACGCCCTCTTCCACTTTGCCCTGCCCCTGAGTGCAGAAGTCTGGGTGGCGGCTGCGGGCCACGGGAGGGGCGCCCCAGCCTGCAGGAAGGGACTTGAACTTGGGACAAGGCCCATGACGGGTCGGATAGGAACATGCAACTAAGGGTGCTGGGTGAGAAGCACAGAATCAGACTTTGAGGGCCAGAAGGGGCCCTGGAGATGGTGAAATGAGCTCCTGCCCTGAACAGAATGGGGAAACTGAGTCCACAGAAATCAGCTGACTTGCCTAGGGTCACACAGTTAGGGCTAAGAGCCTAGGTGCTCTGACAACTTCACTTCTTCCAAGGCATGCTGTTCAAAACATTAACACCCAGGAGATACACGTATGGGTCAGCCAGAACACACAGCACCCTGAACAGCCTAGCCCCGATGCTGCCTCCATCCTGCCCTCTTCTTCCTGCTCTCCACCGTGGCGGGGAACTTCTTCTGACTTAGCAGAGAAGCAGAACATCGCTGGGCAACATTCCGCATCTCTCATGAGCTTTCCTGAGCCCCTGAAACAATCAATCCAGAGCCACAAGCAATCAGCTCTGCGTTCTGAGTGATGAGGTTGGTCCGAGCTCACAAAACTGCACTGAATGCTTTTCTGAACTGCAAGTCTGGACAAGCTGATGAACCACAGGATCCGGGGTTCTAATATCACTGCAGCAGATGTCCACCTGCAAGTGGCGGGCAATGAAATATTCTTCCAAGGTTTGGCGAGCTTAAAAAATTGGGGCTCTAGCCAGACTGGAGCTTGGGGCTACGTGTGTGTGAGTGTGAGTGGGTGAGTCTTGTTCAGTCTTTAAGGTAAATTTTAAATTTGAGCACAGATTTCAAGAGAGCTTGCTGGACATCAAGCAAATGGCATTGCAGTCCGGGCAGCTGGCTGACCACCTTATTCTCTATGGAGGGCATGGCTTGGGAAGCCTCTCTATGGAAGGCATGCTCCCTCTTAGTGTCCCTGCCTCAGGGGAACAAAGGAGTGTTGACCAAAGGAGCTTGCCGAATAGTCCCAGCTGGCTGCCTTGTGTCAAATATACTGGGCGAATACCCCCCTCCTCACTTTGAGCAGAGATTAAGGGGCTTCCCTTCTTATAGAAAAAATAATGGAACATGCTGCTTGACTATCAATATCTCCCATTGAGTGAATATGTTTCTCTTTGTTGCTTTTACTCTTAAAACAGGCTTCTTTGCAAAATCTGCCATTTCCAACGGCCTGCCTACCCCGCCACACCCTCCATTTGTCCCCACTCAGGAGCTCTGGGAAATCATCTGGAGAAATGTGCCGTTCTAATGCATTGCTTGTGCATTTTCTCTGATTTGGGTCTGGTCGCCATGCCTTGTAAGGAGGCTTGTCTTTTCCTGCATTTGATCACAGTTGCAATTTATATTGATGGTGCTCTGAGAGCAACTCCCGTATCCCCGGGCAACCAGAGCCTACAAGTCTGCTTGAGGTCCAGGGGGCCCTGGTGAATCTATACAATTTGAAGGGATAGGTCTTCACCTATGTCCTACAGTCTGGTGGTCATCTAATTTGGGATTATGTATTGGTGCTGGCCTCATCATTTGTAGACTCCAGAAAGGACATGATCTTTGTGTGGCTGTATTAAGTGATTAAAAAGCATTCACACATCCTTTTAGTATGAATCTATCCTGCAATATCACTTACATTCCAAACCCAATTGGTTTTAATCGGGCTTAGGAATTAGGAGGAATTTATCTGATTCTCTTGCCCCCTGAGGCTCTCCAGTTCCTATTAGCAGAACTTATTAATTGCTCGAAGCAGTGCATTTCCTGTATCTTAGCCTTGGAGAGCTCTAATTCATCACTTCTTGGTGTTAATAACTTGTGAAATGATTTGCACAGTTCAGGTCTCTGAAGCCAGGAGTACAAAGGTCTTCTGGAAACTCCTATCACAGAGACACAGTGGGAGATGCTATGTCCATTTGGCAAGGACTTGGGAAGAGAGCCGAAGAGGTCCCCACACTGCATTTTACCACACGCTAGTCTCCTCGGGGCTTAAGGGATGTTATATGGGGTACTGGTTTGGGGTCACCCCACAGAGAACTATCTTGCCATGGCTCTGTGATTGACATTTGCTTTTTCCATGACTCCAGAGAATGTGGGTTTTAGCCAGCTCCCCTGAGGGCCAGCAAAAGCCATAATGCACCCCCCCCCCCAAGTTGGCTTTTTGGAAAATACACAAAGGACCTCTTGCTGCCAGCCCTGGGAGTATCAAATGGCAAAATTTTGTTTTTTGGGGGACGTTGACATTTGAGATGGAAAAGGAATTTGGATTTCTAAATTAAAAAAAATAAGTCTATGTGATTTCAAATTAAAATATGGTTGTAAATTCAGTCAGCCACACATCTAACTCATTCCCCCCCTGGAGGAAGATTAATTACTTCTCACAAGGGAATTCGTGTTCTCGCTTCAGAGTTTAGTTACGGCCTATTCCTATTTCGGTCCCGCAGCTCCAGCTAATTTGGGTCAGCTGTGTGTATAAACATTTGCTTACGAAAGCTCAGAAAAAGATCCCAAGGAAAGAACAGGCCTCCTGCAGTCCCCTGCTCTGGACACTAACCTCATGCCTCCGACAGGAGCCCGGGAAAAGGAGAACACGGGCCCTGGGGCCACTGAGGCATCAGTGAAGGGGATGGGCCGACCCCCCAGCACAGGGTGGTGGGGAAGCCTGCTATTGGTGGAAGCTCTGGCAACAGAGGCAGGGCCGTGGCCTTGCGGGCCTGCTCTCTAGGGGTCGCTCCCTCCCAGGCTTGCAGGACAGAACCCAGCTTCTTCAGTATTGCAGATAAGGACAGAAATGCAGAATCAAAGGGCTGGTGTCCTGGGGCAGCATTTGGAACAGTGGTTCTCAACGCGTGGCCCCCGGACCGGTATCTTCAGCCTCACCTGGAAGCTTGTCCGAAATGCCAATGCTCAGGCCCCACCCAGACCTCCACAACCGGACCCTTGGGGGGTGGGTCCCGGGGATTTGTGTTGGAACATGCCCTCCTTGCCGATCCTGATGCCCAAGTTTGAGAACCACTCTTCTGGAGCCCACCAGGCCAGTGAGTCCTGATCTGGGGTCCTTCGGAACCCAGGAGTTCCAGAAGAGAGAAATTAATTTCTAGGACTGATTTTCAGCATTTCAAAGAGCTGAAGGAAGAAGGTCCGTGTGCCCAGAGAAAGGCTGATTAGGCTAATGGAACGGTCCCTTTTCCTTGTTGCTGCCTCGGATCATAATGGCATGCTCTCATGATGGTTGTCTCACCAAAAATCACAGGCTGTTCAGTGTAAATGCCATTAACTAATCAAAAACAGATATATGGATTCATAATTCATGAATGTGGGCTTCTTTGGTAGGGGGGTAGAAGACATAATGAAAGTCATCTTGGGTGCCTGAAAATTTGGGAACTACCTGTCCTTGCTTTGTCTCCTCAAACACATGTGAGAGTCTCCCACCTGTACAGGGGGCTTAGTAATGCTGGTCTTCTGTTTGTCTCACTTTGAAAGACAAACTAGATCGTGAATGCTGCTCTTCCTAGCAGAGGAGGTACATGCTCTGCGTAACTGACGATGATTTGGAAATGACATCCTCTCCTAGGCTGGCGATCAACGGCTTACTGAATACCCAAAGGATGGTCCCAGGAGTCCAAAAAACGTAGCTCTGTTACCTTTCAGACCTGGCTGCACACTTGGGAGGGGTTCATGCAACATACGTGAATACTTTGGGATTTCTAAGAAGAGTCCAAAGTATGCATGTAATGGCTGGCTTCCTAGTTTCTAGGGAGTGAGGAACCTGAAGACAGGAGGAGGGGAAAAGACAACGTTTAGGATTCTGGACTCCCCCCTGCCCCCACCTTCCAGGCTTGCCATGGAAATCCAGAGTGCCTTGGCTTGTCTCTGAACTTGAGAGGTTAGACAGGGAGGGAGGAGGCAGACAGATTAAAACCCTCGTGCTGTGTCCTGCTCAAACAGCCAACAGTTGTGTGCTAGGGGTGCTGGAGGAAGAAGCCAAGTCAGATGGATGCACAGAGGAGAGGAGGAAAGACTTTGCATAGTCGACTTCTCAAGACTATCATGAAGCTGCATGTGGTGTGGGTAGAGGAGTGTGCCCGGTCATTCTTGCTGCTATTCAGGAGAGGTACCACAGAGAATTCGGGGGTTTACCAAGGCTTTGCCGTGGCTGCGATTAGTCTGTAAAACAAATAAGGTGGCACCGTTCATAGACAGCTCGTTGTAGCTTTCAATTCATTTACACTGATCAGATCATGGACCCAAGCTGCCTGGATGGTTCATTCTGGCCGGCAGCGGCTTTCCGGAAGTTTCCATAGAGATGCCGCAGCCTCTCTGGGGTGCCCGTCTAGTGCAGTTCTCTTGTTCTCATATTGCAGGACCAAAAGCTACCTGTTTCCTCCTCTCTCTCCCCTGGGTTCATACAGATTAGCCCCACATCCATGCAGTGGTGTGATGTCCAAAATATCACTCCTCGGCACAATCAAGCAGGGGGATCTGGGGCCCCTTCCAGACGGTAAGCCTCTGAAACAGAACTCACGTCTGACTCCTGTGTGTTCCCCAGGGCCTTCCTCACAGCAGATGGTCAAAACACCACTGAATTGCTGTGATCATTCATTGCACCTACTCCACAGGGCTGATCATCCTTCTGCACCGAGGCTTCCCAAGGGGTTGGAATAAAGTGGTGTTGTTTTAGGGAGGGCACGTTCTGCATGGAGCACTGGGTGTTATGCACAATGAATCATGGAACACTACATCTAAAACTAATGATGTAATGTATGGTGATTAACATAACAATAAAAAAGAAAAAAAAAGTAGTGTTGTTTTAGATTCCCCCCAGGAGAGGGATGCCCAAGGAAAAGAATTGTGGTGGAGAAAAATCTGCACGAGAAATGGTGAACAGATCCAAGCCCCACAGGTCAACAGGGAAAGAGGCTGGCTCTGTCCTAAAGCCAAGAGAAAAACAGAGAACGTAGATGTTTTTTGCAGCCTTGACTCCACAAGGGAGGGGCAGCGAAATGCTCCCTTTGAATCCTGGCTGGTGGTGGCAGAGGAGGCAACTTGAAATCTCCATTTAGAGATTCAGAGGTGGGATTCTGGAGACAAGTCCAAGCAATAAATTCTTAAAGTAGTATTTCTGAGCTAATTGCGAGAGGGTATTTCACTGAGATTTCATGACTATTTTTGACAATGTGAATTCTACAATGGTATTATAAATGTGAAAACAATCTTAGAATCTGGCTGGGGCCCATGCTCCCTGGTCTGAAAAACCTCTTTCCACTACTGAGAGTTGTTCTGGGGCCTCTGTGCTGGCCTCGGAACTCTGCCCTTCTTGACTAAATTCAAGAAACAATGACTTTATGTTCATTTAAAGCACCCGAAGGGGGAGAACCCCAGACCCATAATGGACAAATGTGGGAAATAAGTAAATGCTGAAGAGAAGTGATTAAGGGGGGTTATGAAGGAGAATTTGTCCCTGGTTGCGGTGGACTGTTTGTTACTCATCAGTAACTTCAAAACCTGCAGGATACATGTCCAAGAAGAAGGAAGGAGTTAACTAGTTCTACTACTTAACTGAAATTTACACATGGTTCAGTTTATCAGAATCCGGAGGGACAGAAACCTTATACTTTCATTGTCAATTTGATGTACAAGTGAAGTAAGATCTGCTACAAGGCTAAAGCAGCAGAACTTTTCCTTCCCTCTTGGTCACGGTGAGGTGTAGATGAGGATGGAAAACCTGACGCCATTTTGTTAAAACCATTGGGTTTTCCTTGGCATTTCCACCTATGTATATTTTTAATTTCCCCAAATTCCAACTGAATTTTTTGGCCACAAAATGCTTGAGGGAAACCTAAGGAAGTGCTTTTAAAGTCCAAGTGATTCGTTTGGAATATTTGAGAAAAAAGCTCTACGCAGGGACCAACCCCGCCGTAGGTTCTAGCCCCAGCTCCTCCACAAAAGGAGGGGCAACGCCTTTGAGATTTAATCTAATGTAAAGCTCAAGAGGAATTCTGCCAAAGGATAGCAGGTGTTTCTCTGGACTGGTTAAAAAACAGTGAGGCTAAGCAATAATAACATAGGGACCGTGAATAGTTCACTTGACCATCAGCTTTCAATTGAGGCAATTTATGACAAGCTTTAAAATCTGGGGGGGGGGGGGGAAGGATTGCGGTTATTTCAAATGTACTCATAATTATGTAAAAAATTCTACCTTGAACTATACTTCTGTGTTTCCTATCACCTCTTCCCCTAAAATCTTGAGTCCGTTCAAGGGACTGCCTTGCTCATTGTTGTCTCTACGGGCCCAGCACCCTACCCTCCATATAGTCTGGTTCGTACCAAAATTTGTTGCATTTGATTGAATCGATAGGACCCTGAGTCTGCTGGCTCTTCTTTCCTTCCCCTTATTGCTTGCCTTGACACATGAACCCTGAGGAGCTCTGCACTGCATTTAGATGGCCAATCTCTGATTGGATTGACAAGGCTAACCATCTTCACCCCCAACCTCTCAGCAGGTGAAAGATTTGTCTTGAGTCTAACTTCCTGAGAAGAGCCAAGTAGCTGAGGTCTGTCCGGGCTGGGCATGCCTTGTGCTCCTGCTGCAGTCGATAATTTTCCACAGCAGAATCTACACCCTCAGGAAGCCTAGTTGAGAGGAGCTGGATGAAGACTAGGGAAAATGGATGACACTTAATTAACCTTTATCAGTTTGCTGAATTAAAAAGAAAAAAAAATCCTTTCATTCTCATAGGATTTTTTTTCCCCCCAGTAATTATTTTAATGGTTCAACGGACTAAGGATGCAAAATTTCTGTCAAGCAGAGTTTTGTTAATAGGTACCCTATTTGATTCTGGAAATCCTGAGAACAAAATATCTTATCCCCATTGGACACTCCTCCACAAATGGACACTGAATTTACAAAATGCACTTAGAGGTGTTATTTTAAAATGTATCATAGGGTTCTTTCCTATCTTCCCTAGGTGTTTTTACAGGTTCCCAGAGATTTAACCCCATAAACCTCAAAAAAAGAAAGAAAGGGGGAAAAAAAGTTTATTCTCATTCAAATGTCAGCAGCAAGACCCAGGTACAGAGTACTTAGGCACTCGAGTCAAGCTTTAAGTCAGTTGTGAGCAGCCTGGGCTGACTGAGAGGGACTGAGTCTTTCTACTCCGCGTGCCTTTCCAGAATCAAAGAAAAGAAACCCCAGTGGGGGAATAGATTATTTTAATATTACCCAAATAGAGGGGCTCCTCATAGATTTGAGGATGTGGGCACAGACTGTGGCCCCTGAGAGGATCCTGGTGGAGCTACACTCTTCTACTTAGTGAGCAATTCTTCTAGATGATGCTTTATCAGGTCAGATTCTACATGTGTGTAATAGGATTCCGAAAAAGACTGGTCTGCTCAGCTCTGAGTGACAATGTACTTATCTGACTGGAAGTCAGCAGACCTTTGTTCTCTCCTGTGTTTTTAGTACCTCCACTAATGGGCTGAGATGAAACAGGCCACCCAGACGTGATCCTATGGATTCTCATCACCGATGTACATACTGTGTACGCAGCCTTTAAAATTGCAGGCTGAGTGGTTCTACTATTAAGGTCCCCTGCTGTTTACTGTTTGGAGGGCTTAGCCATGAACAGAGAGCTATTTTTGAATTATGAAGGAAAAGACTTGAAACATTCTCACTTCTGTTCTGGCTCTGGGGCATGGACTATACTTAAAATTTTAGACCTTGGGTCACAGGGCTCCAATATTATTATTAACCGCAGGACATTTGATCTGGGCCAAACTGCTTGTTGCATGCTGGACTCTGAAGTAATGGTCATGGCGAATCTAGATTTCTGCTAGAGTCATTACGGGTTTTGATTTTTAAATTTCGTTGGGGAAGAAAGTTAAAAAGTATGACCCTAAAGGAGTCTGAACTGCGACTTCATTCATTCGGGGCACGCTTCCTTCTGTTACTATGGATAGTCAAGAGTTAGATTTAATCACTAACCTGGGTAGGAAGTTTTAAATCTATCTACTAAAAGACATGATAATCATTCTTCTTTGACCCAAATTATGGCCAGTAATTCAATATACCATTGACGCTAGAAAGCCATTGTTTCTCGGTGTTCCAGAAAGGAAGCACTCGACGATATTCAATTAATTGTGGACTCAAGTACCCCGAATAGAATGGAAACCGAGGAGGTAAGAGGATGGACATGTGATTGATGCTTCTGGAAAGAACAGGGATGACATCCTAAAAGTAAGAGAAGGGTGAGGGGTGCCCACAGTGAATTGTGTTTACTCCAAAAACAAACCCACTGGTTGGCATTTTAGCTACAACCTATGTCATGAAAGGGAAGCCCTTGCAGGTGAGTAGGATCTGGGGCAAAGCATCCAAGGTCTGGGATTTCTGCTGACATGGAGTCTACGGGGATCTTGGGGGGAGACCCATCCATAGGCTTAGTCTCAATGACCTTGGAGGTGCTTTCCAGTTCCCAAATTGCATGGTCCCCTGGTAATAGATCGGTGAGCAAGAGACACAGCTACTCACGTGGTGTTATGCCTTGGTTAGCCAGCTGTTCCTGGGTCCTCCTCTGCTGAAGTCGTAACTGCAAAACTTAGAAAAGAAAATGTTAGTTTGTAAGTTGGGCTGCATGTGATTGTATTTGTTCATATTTACATCAGAATTTTTGCCCAGCTCTTCTCATTTTATTCTTATTTTTTAAGATTATTTACTTGTTTATTTATTTAGAGAGAGTGAGCACTCGTGCAAGGGGGGAGGGGCAGAGGGAGAAGAAAGAATCTCAAGCAGGCCCCACACTCAATGAGGAGCCCGACGTGGGGCTTGATCTCAAGACCCATGAGATCATGACCTGAGCCAAAATCGAGTCAGACGCTTAATGGACTGAGCCATCCAAGAGCCCCTCATTTTACTTTTAGAACAGTCCTGAACTTTTGCATGAGGTACATTTGTATTTCTGTTACAGATGTGGAGAAAGAAAAGAGGAGAGACCCTGAGGGGGTTGCAGGGATTTGCGGGAAGTCTGTGACGAGTTGGAACTAGAACACCCCTCTCCTCTTTCAAAGTGAACGTTGTTCCCACAGCACTGTGCTCCCTGTCTCCCTATTACCCACTTTGGAGATAAACACCAACCGATTCTGCTGGGAATTTGCCTGCACTTTCAAAGGGAGAGAGAATGAAGAAAGCAATAGGCTTTGGAGTCTCATATGGGTTCAAATCTCATTTTTAGCCCCTTCAAAAGGTGGGTGACCCTGGGCAAGTTGCTTAACCTCTCTGACCCCTGGTTCCCTCATCTGTAAATGGGAACAATGCCTACCTTGAGGTGCTGCTATGAAGTCTGATAAACAAGGTACGCAAGTCGCTTAGCAGAGTATCTGGCACAAAATAATTCACCAATAAACAGGGGTATTTTGAGCATCTGGGACCTGTTTGGAATTTCAAAGATGGACTACTGGAGTCAGGTTTTGCTTAGAAAAGTTAAAACACTGTAAAGTGTTTGAACTTTATATTATAAAACTTTGCTGCTATCCATAGCACAAATAGATTATATATATCATAAACATATATACATACAGTTTTTTAAAACTATATTTAAAATTATGTGTAGCATTTGTGATTTTCTCCTACTCCCTCTCTACTCTCCCCCTAAAAATTCTATCTTTGGACACTTAGCCTCTCTCCCTCATGGATATTCCATTTTCTCAGGGAGGTTCTTCTTCTTCTTCTTAAAGATTTATTTACTAGAGAGAAAGAGAGAGAGAGAGAGAGAGAGAGAGAGAGCACACATATGTGAGCTGGGGAGGGGCAGACGGAAAGGGAAAGAATCTCAAGGAGAGTCCCCGCAGAGCTTCTTAAAGCCCAGTGTGGGGCTCGACCTCACAACCCCGAGACCATAACCTAATCAAGGGTCAGATGCTCAACCAACAGAGCCACCCAGGTGCCCCTCTCAGGGAGATTCTAAGTTTACCATCTTGGCTCTGGCATTTACATTGCTCAGAATAATGATAGAAAGAGCAAACATTTACAGAAAGAGGGATTGGTCTAATCAACTTAGAATGAAGAGAACAAGAGAACTGCTTTTAAGAAGAGAAAATTAGAATGTAGGGAAGAGGGGCAAAAATAGGAAGGCTATGTGGGCTGACTTTCAAGCTGATGTAGTATTCGGAGTAAAGCATCAGAAAAAATGCAGTCGCCATACTGAGAGACTAATGGGGAAAGATAATTTTTTAAAGTGCTGCCATGGTTTTGAATTGGACCCTCATCAATCATCTTCAAGAGAGAGCAATGTTGTTGAATTGCTTTTAACTACTTTTGGTTGCTAGACTGCGCTTCACCATAGTCTCGTTTTACTCCAAGTTAGGACTGGACAATAAAGAAGACAAAATAAATGAAAATGATATGAGAGTTTGTTATTTAAGCCCTCCTTCAGAACAACCCTCCCACTAATAAAAGCTGTAAACTCTGAACAAAATATGAGCTATAACTACCTGAAGATTCTGAACAGGAAACAAAATCAGGCAGATTGTAGAGGGGAGTTGAGATTTGGAGAAGTGACTTGCATGGGGGTGAGTTCCCTATTTGGGGGAAACTGAGGCTGACCTGGAGTCATGAAGTGGCAGGTCACAGGCAAATAAAACTCTAATAGAAAACATGCTCATCTTTCTGGCCAGAGAAATCAGAGAAAGGTACCTGGACAACCATGGCTGACCACCACAGATTGAGGAGGATGTCATGTAGGGGAGAGAGTTGGGGAAGGAAGGGATCCCCAAACTATGTGTATGAACCCTCACAAGTTTCAGGTTTATCCCTTCATGATGTTTCCTTGGGGCAGACTCAAAGCAGCACGGCAAAGATTTAAAATTAAACAGAAATTTGAACCTCTGTGCACATAGGCAAAAAAGGACTTAATGTTTGAATCTACCTGGATTGTGTGTTAAAACCAAACCAAACCAAACCAAACCAAACCAAACCAAACCAAACCAGCATTCTCCAGAGGATTGTAAAAGAATTCAGAGTTTGTGTAACACAAGACAGAATGTCCAGGATACAATCCAAAATTACTCTACACATAAAGAACCAGGAAGAACCAGAAAAATGTGATCCATTTTAAATAGAAAAGCCAATTAACTGATGCTAGCTTTGAGATGACCCAGATGTTGGAATTATCACACTAGTACTTTAAAGTAGTTATTTTCTTTCTTCTTCTTTCTTCCTTCTTCCTTCCTTCTTCCTTCCTTCTTCCTTTCTTCTTCTTCTTCTTCTTCTTCTTCTTCTTCTTCTTCTTCTTCTTCTTCTTCTTCTTCTCTTCTTCCCTCCTCCTCCTTCTTCCTCTTCCTCTTCCTCTTCTTCTTCCCTCCTCCTCCTCCTTCTTCCTCTTCCTCTTCCTCTTCCTCTTCTTCTTTCTTCTTTCTTCTTTCTTCTTTCTTCTTTCTTCTTTCTTCTTCTTCTTCTTCTTCTTCCTCTTCCTCTTCCTCTTCCTCTTCCTCCTCCTCCTCCTCCTCCTCTTCTTCTTCTTCATCTCAGAGAGGCAGGCGGAGGGAGAGGGAGGGAGAGAATCTTATGCGGGCTCCATGGAGCCCACTTAAAAAAAAAAAGAATAAATATTAGAGGGGATGAATCAGTAAACTTGAAGATCAAAATTAAGAAGAGAGAGGAAAATGGTGGAGAAAATGGACATAGAGATAGCCTCATGGATCTGTACCACATTATCACAAAGTCTAACATCAGCTAATTAGAGTCCCAGAAAGAGAGAAATAAGTAATAATAGCCCCAAACTTCCCAAATCTTTTAAAAGACATAAATTCACAGATTCCAAAAGGTCAACAAACCCAAACCAGACATATTCACAGAAAACCACCCTTAGATACATCATAATCTAATGACTAACCTAAAGATAAAGAGTAAATCCTGAAAGTATCCAGGGAAAAACAACACATTATATAAAGGGAAACACTGATTCTCATCCAGAAAGCATGGAAGTGAGAAGATAAAACAAAAACAAAATGTAAAACATAAAACAAAATTCAACACCAAATAAGAAATGTCCTCTAGAAACGAAGATAAAATAAAGATGCGTTCAGGTAAAGAGAAAGTAAGATAATTTGTTGCCAGCAGATTTTACTACAAGAAATGCTTAAGGAATTCTTCAGGCTGAATGGAAATGAGAGCAGAAACAAACCTGGATATTTGGGAATGACTAAAGAGTATCAGAAATAGTAACTATTTTGTAAATATTAAAGATTTTTCTTTTTGTTCTTAAGTTTTAAAAGAATGCACCTAACTACTTAGAGAAAAATTATAATATTGTCCTGTGATGTTCTTAAGGCATGTAGATATAATACAGATTACAACTGTAACATAAAAGGTCCTTTATGACTGCAAGATTTCTACACTTTACATGTAATGGTATAATATTAACTATAGGTAGATTGCAAAAGATTAATGAAGAGCAACTAATACAAATACAAAGAGGAAGGGTGCCTGGGTGGCTCAGTCAGTTAAGCGTCCAACTCTTGACCTCATAGTCATGAGTTCAAGCCCTGTGTTGGGCGTGAAGCCTACTTAAAAAAAAATACAAAGAGGAACAGGTAAAAAAACACCCATAAATTAAAATGGAATACTAAAAAATATTCAAACAATCCAAAAGAATGCAAAAAGTAGGGAATATAGAGACAAAAAGTAGAGGGACAAACAGAAAACAAACATTAAAATGGCTGAAGTCTAAAAACATTAATAAATACATTAAATTTTAATGGTCTAAACCCTCAGATTAAAAGGCAAAGATTATCAAAAGGAATAAAAATTCAATATGCAATTATATGCTATCTATATATAGACACTTTATATATAAAGACTCAGATTAGTTGAAGTAGATGGGGAAAAATATAGCATACAAACAATAAACAAAAGAAAGCTAGATTGGCATACAATATCAGATAAAAGAGACTTCAAGCCAAAGAGTATTATCAGAGATAAAGAAGGGACATTACATAATTATAAAAGGGACAATTCATTTGAAGACCTGGCAGTTATAAATGGATAGGCATCTAATAAAAGCCTCAAACAAATGAAGCAAAAACTGACGGAATGAGAGGGACAAACAGACAATTTCAAAATCATAGTAGATTCTATGATTCCTTTCTCAACATTTGATAGAACTAGATTTTTAAAAAAAATCACTGATGACATTGGGATTTGAACAATTATCGGTCATCTTGATTTAACTGATATTTATAGAGCACTGTGTTCAATAACTTAAAATTTACCATTCTTTTAAGGTTCACTTATTACATTCACCGAGATATACTAGGCCATAAAACAAATTTCAATACACTTTTTTTTTTAAAGATTAAACTCATATACAGTATGTTCTCTGTTCACATTGGAAGTAATTAGAAATCAAAGGCAATATGTTATTTAGGAAAATATTTGACAATACACTTCTAAATAATTTGTAGGTCAAAGAAGAAATCACAAGGGAAATTAAAAATATTTTTAATTGACTGATAATGCATATACACAACTACAATTATGGGATACAGCTAACGCAGTGCTTAGAGGGAAACTTTAGAGTTTTAAGTGCTTATGTTAGACAA